GTCTGTCTGTCTGTCTGTCTGTCTGTCTGTCTGTCTGTCTGTCTGTCTGTCTGTCTGTCTGTCTGTCTGTCTGTCTGTCTGTCTGTCGTTCTGTTCTGTCTGTGGACAAAATTACTAAAGAACCTGTGGACGGATTGGCATGGCATTTTTACCACATGTGGGGATTAGCCAAAGTAACACACCTTTAAATTTTGGTGAGGTTCCAGATCACGATGCAGATACAGGATTTTTTTTTTATTTCTTTTAACCCTCTGAGCTCGAAAGCTGTGATGCATTGGCAGGGCTTCAGTAAAAAAACAGTGAGAGCTTTCAGTGTTCATTTGAACTGGATTGAACAGCAATTGTATTTACTTCCAAATAAAACCAGATTTAATGATAAATAATTTTTTTGCCATAATGTGCACATTTTTACACATTTGGTGGACAATTAGAGAAGGTTTTGTGACCAGGAAGTGCGTGACTGCACCATGAAACCCATTTTACCATTTCCTCAAACATACCACATTTTCCAAAAACAAACAAACAAAAAAACAAACAAACAAACAAAAAAAACAATCAAAACAGTTTCTCGGTACTAGGCTTGTAAACAGAGAGCTTCTGGCTGGGCCTCAAAGTTTGGACACGGGAGGAGAACAGATTCATTTCGGCATTTTGGAAGCTAGCGAGTTAGTTTCTAGACCAGACAGTGTGTGAATGTGTGCGCCAAGGGGGAGGAGGTAATGTTTTAATTGCTGAAAGCGCACACGCTGTATTTAGCATCTAGCTTCAAAAGAAAAAAAAAACCCTTCATGAGCCGACTGTACCAGGAAGCACTTCATAAAAACAGTCAGACCATTACAAACTCATAAAAGGGGATAAAACAGATGTTTTACACAGTGGAATGTGACTGATGAAAACTTAGGACAGGGCTATTCAACTGGCGGCCGCCATCTCTGGAGCTCAAACCCCCAGTTTTCTACTTTAATTACTTTAAGTTCTTTTAGTTACACATAGACATATTTGGTAACTACAGAACTGTCAGAATCTTGACTACAAGCTCATAAAAACATTTATATGCACACTAAAGACAGTTAAAATGACAAGCATTTGAAGATAAAACTATGAAAGTGAAAATAAAATTGGTTAAAAATTTGGCAAGACAGAGATGTCAAAATATGTGTGTCAAATAGGGGGTATAATGTGTTCTTTTTGTTTTTGATATTGTTTATTTATCACTACTTTTATAGGATTCTGTATGTTGTAATCATGATTAAATGCAGCAAAATAAACTATTAAGATCTTTGTAATACTTGGTTTATTTACAAAGTAAATTAAATTGCTGGATGTCCAGCCTCTAAGCTGTTGACCTGCAGTAACTGTGGCCCCTGGAGCAGTTTAATGAATAGCCCTGACTTAGGAGCTTAATCCGAAACCAGTTTGACCATGAATAATGTCTGGTGATGAGTCTGACTTTTAAATTTCACATTGGACTCCACCAGGAAGAAATCCCATGCATACTGCCTGCTTAAATGTTCGCTACATCAGAACTTATTCGGCAAATGTGTTTCCATCTCTGCTTTTGCACATTAACTCCATTACAGGATGGGGGAAATTGGTCTTGGTGGAGACTTGCACTCTCCAAGTGCTTCTAGTTGTATCATGTTTTTGATCTGAGTTTGTTTTACAGAATGAAATGTCTGAATGAGAGCTCATCCAATGCTGGTGATTCCATACTTTTTGCCAGGGCTTGTAAATGCCCAATCAGCTCTCAACCTACTTTTTGACTTCGTGACCACCAACAGTAACTGATCTGGCCTGAGAGAGTGTGAGGAAATGTAAGGCCTGAGACATTTACAAACACACCAGAAACATTCAATTCAATTCAATTCAAAAACAAACTGGAAAGCAATGTAGTGATGTTAAAATAGGCATAATGTGCTCTTGTAACCAGCTGAAGTCAAATAACAGCTGGCTCAGCCTGAGATAAAGTACCTTGCAGTAATTTAGGTGAAGAAAATAGCATGAATTAAATTCTCTGTGATGTTGTGAAATGAATGATTTGATTTGGCTGTCTCACATAATAAAAGCTGGACTTTATTTATTTAATCTTAACATCAACATTTAGCTCGTTGTTCAGTTTCAAACCCAGTTTGTCGCTGTCTGAATCAGATATTGTGTTCAAGGATCCAGATCAACACAGACTTTAGAAGCATTCCTGGACCTGAACAACAGTAAATTGTCAAGTGTAAAAAGTTCATTGACATCCAAGCCTTGATCTCTGCAATGCATTTCAGGAGCTGGATTGCAATTGTTTTTCTTGTTTTAATGGCAATGTAGACTGTTATCAGCAAAAAATGGAAAGTGATACCATTGCAGAAATTAGACCTAAGAGGAAGTAAGGAAAAGAGAAGAGAGCCAAATATAGAATCTTGAGGCACACCACATGTAAGAGGTCCTAAAGAGGATTCAACAACTCAAACTCAAACCCAAAAGCTCCTCTCTGTTGAATATGATCTAAACGAGGGATTCCCAAACTTTTCCATGCCTTGAGTTGCCGGACTGAATCTTGGCCCGGGACCTTTCTGGCTAGAGTGCGCATATTCTTTCTGTGCATGTGTGGGTTTTCTCCCACAGACCAAAAACGTGAGTGTTAGGCTAAATGGAAACTCTAAAATGTCCCCAGGTGAGAAAATGAATGGTGGTTTGTCCCTATGTTGGATCTGTGCACCAGTGACTCTGAAAGGAACAAGTAGTTGTTAATGGATGAATGGTTTTTCTACTTCTTACCTGTGTTAAAAAGGCAAGGAGTAGAAAGTACAAATAATTGTGTGAAAATAGAAGGAGTTGCTGGATGTCCAGCCCCTAAGCTGTTGGCCTGCAGTATAACTGTGGCCCCCAGAGCAGTTTAGTTGAATAGCCCTGACTCAGGAGCTTAATCCAAGACCAGTTTGACGATGAATAACAAAAGTCATTTGAAATATACTAAGTCAAGTGAAGTACAGATAACCATAATTTCCACTTAAGTACAGTATCAAAGTATTTTTATTTCGTTACTTTACACCAGCTGTCATAATCCTTGATATGTTGTAATTTTTATGCAGAAACTCTTGTAATTCTACTTTAATGTAATCCTTATATTGAAAACACAGGCGGACTGGCTTTGGTGTATTGAGATGGTGATGTATCCAAATTTGTAATTGTGTTCTGGATGTCCCAGATTTTGAACTGACTACATCAGTCTAGCATGCAAAACATATCCTTGTGTTATGTTTGGGTAAAGAAAAAGTGTTGTTATTCAAATTTTGGCATTCTGTTCAATCTAAGACTGCAGTGTATTCAGAAATTTTACTGTGTCACCCATCTATGCACCTGCCTGGCCAATCCAGGAAAAATCTTGGGCCCCACTTTGAAAAACACTGATCTTAACCACTGTAGAGCACTTTGAATGCCCTCCCAGTTATCCAGGAACAGGAGGATCTGTTAAGTCCAACAGCTTCAAAACAACACATTGACAGGGTCCATGGCTAGCAGAACATCATTAACAATCTTAAAAAGCTGCTGAGTCAGCTAGGTTTGAGTTGTAGTTGAGTGACAGTAGTCAATCCAAGACCTTGGACTGGATTGGTTGCTCTGAAATTGGCCTAAAAATTAAGTACAGTGAAGTCCAGGTCAGTTTTTAATGGTGTCACAGTTCATTGTTTCATGTTTAAAACTTGTAGTATTGATCAGGGCCATCTTCACACAGACAGGACATGAGTCATTATCCATCCGAAGAGCCTGAGATACCAGCCAAAAATTGTGATGATTTACCCTACACCCATGGAGGCAGGGAAATGAGAAGCTGATTGCCCTTCATCCCAGGCCGACCACAGGGACCAGTGAAAAGCCAGAGAATGCCGAGACAAGAAACAACAATATTCCGACCCAGTACCTCCAGATAGAGTCGTCAGGGGGCAGTTTTACTTACGAGACATCCCAACTTATTCAGACTGTATGAGCAAATTAGCATATAACTTCTATACCATAACTTGAATGAGTTTGCAAAACTTCTGGAGAACTGAAATAGAGTTGCATAATGTTAAACTAAAACATCACAACTTTACAAATAACTTTTATTTTTTTTTGTAGGAGCCAGTGATGGCTACCTGCTGTACACACGTCAATTGAGAGACTTCTCCAGACGATGTAGTTGTTGAAAATCTGTGTGACCTCACATGGCTGACAACGCTGTAGTGTCAATCCTTGGCTTCATCAACATCACTGGAAGCTCCACAGGCAGCAACACCACATCTCCCAGTGCTCAGATGGCCCACGTTATCAGCTGGTTAACATTCTGCATCGGGCTGCCCGCCATTGGACTGGCTATGTACACCCTCAAAAATCTCTCTAAAGGTTTGCCTTATTGCTATTTTACATGTATGCAGGATCACAAAAATACATGTTTTATAACTGATTTTATGTATTTATATCATTTACTTTTATATATCAAATCTATCCATCGAAATTTGAACTAGAAGTGATTTTAAATCTGCAAATCAGGATTTTTATGTCAAAAGTTGTCTCACTCTGTGTTTTGTCAAAATCTCAACAGATGTGCAGAAATAAAATGTTCTACTTACTGATTTATGACAAAGTTTTAGGAGCAAATACTATGTTTATATATAAAAACAAAGTTAGGACATTTTGAGTTTCAGAACTAAACATTTTGTTTTGTGTTTGGCTTTTAAAAAAGTGTAAAAATGTAAAAAATGTGATTTATGAACAAACATATAATTGTATAGTATACTATACAATTATATGTTTGTTCATAAATCACATATTTCAGGCCTATGACACATTTCAAAATAAAGTTTGGACTGATCTTAGTTATAACAGTGAGATAAAAATTAAAAAAATGTTTTAAACAGGTGTTTTCAGTGTTTTGACTTAAGTAATAAATAGAAAATTTTCTAATTAGCATCTCACTGTTAGTACTCAGTATGAATTGTGGCTCATTTTCTACGTCCAGACTTTAGCACAGAATCTGAAATATATGACTGTTATAGCCACTATTATGCCTGATAGGAAATGAAAATCCAAGTAAGTAAAATCATATATGATTTGTATGTTTTTATACCATTTAATATGAAATGTGTTGAAGTAGTTAAGGATTGCTGTTTCAGTAATTCTCCCCGTGTTGTTTGTTTAGGAGATGGTAAAATCCCCATGCACGTCATGTTCCTGCTTGTGAGTGACGTCATCAGTTTCTTTGGCCGTCCCAGTGTGGATCAGAACACAGAAAACTACACAGTCTTCTCGTCCAGTGGCACCGATATCATCTTTTATTTTGGCATCGTGTCCAACATTACCCTCATGCTGTTCATAGCTCAGGAGCGCCATCTTCTGGTGGCGTACCCACAGTGTCTCGCCTGCTTCACCAGTGTCAGACAGTCGCCTGCAGTGACCCTGCTGGCATGGGCTGCTCCGTTCGGCCTGGTCACCCTCGCCGTGCTGCGTTACGAACTCTGGTTTTCCGCAGCTTTGCTCGCTCCTTTCCCCTTTCTCCTCTTTTTTGCCGTGGACGCTTGGAGGGCCCTCCACTGCTCCCAATCCAACCCTCCAAGCCCAGAAAGGAGGAGGACGGTGTGGGGGATCGGTGCTATCTGGGCCAACTACACTTTCCTCTATGCTCCCTTTATCCTCAGTCTGCTCTTGGAAGCGCTGTCCTTTAAAGAAGAGGTGCGCTACCTGGGACTAGTGTCTCATATGCTGCTCTACCTCAGTCCTCTGGTGGATCCCTTTCTATATCTATTCATGACCAAGGGGCCTAAAGAGGTGCTGCGAGCTTTACCCTGCTGTCAAAAGTTAAGAAAGAAAGGGTCCATGAGACCCACTGTGAATACTGTAGCTGAAACTGTAGAAACAAAATTGTGAAGACATCATTAACCACAATGATCTGTCCCTAATATATTTTCTCTTATTATGACAATTTTAGGTTTTTAGAACATTTTTAATTTTGTTTCAAAACTGACACAGCCATAGTACAAAAGACAGACCTTATCAGACAAGTTTTTAATTGTCCAAACCTTATCAACAAAGTCTGTTTTTATGAATTCACACCAGTAAAATTTAACACACAATGACCATCTTTATTGTTCATATAATGATGAAGACATGTTTGGCAAAAAAAGATGTATTCAGGCTTCAAGAGTGTCACAAAAATATGCTCCTCTCCGTCCTGACTGGACTGAAGTGAATATAGATAAAACCAGAAGTTTACATACACTATATAAAACGACATATGCATTTTTTCCACACTGTCTGAAGAGAAATCAGAATCGGAATACATTTTTCTGTTTTATGTCATTTAGGATTACCAAAAGGTTTCTATTGGCTGCCAGAATAATGACAAAGCTAATTTTTAAGGCAATTTTTAATACTTTCTTCAAAGTCAAAAGTTTAAATACACTGCTATGTTTTAGTGAAATTCCAGAAGAAACGTCTTTGACAGTAAGTAAGTAAGCAAGTAAGTAAGTAAACTTTATTTCTATAGCACCTTTCACAGACACAAACATCACAAAGTGCTTCACAGAAAGCAAAAAATAATTAAAAACAATAAAACAGATCACAGATATAAAAACAACAATTAAAACACAATAAAAAACACTTAACTAAAAGCCTGTCTGAATAAAAATGTCTTAAGATGTTTCTTCAAAGAGTCAGTAGAATCTGAGCAGCGAAGGGACAGAGGGAGAGCGTTCCAGAGCCTCGGGGCCACCACCTGAAAAGCTTTGTCTCCACTGGTTTTATAATGGTTTCGAGGGACCACCAGCAGCATTTGATTAGAAGACCTCAGAGTCCTGGATGGACAGAGAGGCTTCAGAAGGTCCAGGATGTATTTGGGGGCCTGACCATGAAGTGCTCTGAAAGTTAAAACTAAAATTTTAAAATGACACCTGACAGACTCAGTGCTGTTTAATTTGTTCCACACCTGCTAACATACAATCACTTCTTCGTCAATACAGATAGGCACAAGTAAAGGTGCAGACACTGCCATCAAGTGGATGAGTGTTTAAAGACTCCTATCACCACCTATACTAAGATTACTATGCCTTCAAACAGTTTGGGACATTTGATGTCATGGCTTTGGAAGCTTTTGATTTATTGATAACATCTGAGTTAATTTCTTAATGAACATTTGGGATCTTATTTGTGTTTGTGTATGAATGTTTTTATTTTTATGTCTTCTGATTGTGCAACAAATTGTCCCTTGGGGATAATAACGACTCTTGAACTTGAGCTCAGACTGTGGACGCTTTGAACAACACTGGACTGTATTTGATTTAGTGCCACAAATTAAAAAGACTAGGGTTGACTTTAAAAAAAATTGAATGTGTCATGTTCAGACTGCCGTGAAAACATCTGATATGGACAAAAAATTGAATTTGGGTTGTATTTGCCTGCAGTGTGAATCTAGCCAAAACAAACACTTTATTGTCTTTTTTTATAAGAAACATGGGTATACAGGAATTCTGACTGTCAGCTTCTGCTCCTCAGTCAAATTCCCAAAGAGTCATGCATTATCCATCCGACTGATGTCGCAGTGGTGATGAGGCTTCACGTCGATGAAGTTATTCAGTAGGTAGTGACAAAGCAACACTACTGTAAGAGAGGGGTCGACAGCAGGAGGATATTGATGATTTGGAAATATCCAAAGCCATTGATCTCCTCTAGAATGCTCTCAAACATCCTCCCTATTTTTACAGCTGATTTACAGCTCTTTTTGAACAAGGTTACATTTGAGTGAAAGTATGAAATGCTACAAAAGATGTATGTTATTCATGAAAGAAATAATATCTCCTTCTCAGTTTGTGTGTCTGAGTTTTGTTTCTGTCTTTTATATCGGTCAAATCTGAACATTAACGTTGTTGTCACTTCTGAACATTTTAAATAGGTAAAATATTACAGAGTCAATAGATTACACATTTGAGACTGGAGGCTGGAGGAGTTTCCCTTTGTTCATGAAAGCATGCTGAATTTTGCCATCTATGTATCTTGTCTTAAATGTACTTTCAGGCAGATTTTATCAGAATTGAGGGAGCTTTTCTGCAACAATTTTTGTGGTTGCAAACATGAAAACTTTAAAAGACAGAGCAGATCTTGAAATATGAGGAAATATATATATATATATATA